GGGTGTGGGTGTGTGTGGGTGTGAGTGTGGATGTGGGGTGGGTGAGGATGTAGGTATGGGTGTGGGATGGGTGTGGCTATTGGTTTCTCATCATCCATACTTCACACCGACACCCACACCTACACCCCGACATCCACACCCACATACGCACACGCACACCCACATGCACACACCCATACGCACACCCACACCCCGACACCCACGCACCCATACCCACATCATCAATTTATACAAATTGATTTGAAAAAAAGACTCATGAATTTATACAAATTATTGAATATTAGTAAAAATCTATTGTAACCTAGCACTCTTTTTGTTCTTGAACTATTTTTTTCTTATTAAATATACTCTGCCACTGACAAAATCATTAATTAATTTTCATAAATTAATTACCGAGCTCATTTCTCTCTTTTTAACGACAAAAATAGAATTAACCGAGCTCATTTATATCTTTTCAGAGTATAAATTAATTTCCGAGCTCAAAACTTTCATTTATATAAAAAAATATAATTTTATTACAACCGAGCTCATTTCTCTCATTTTAAAGCCAATTAAACACACAGAGCTCAAATATCTCTTTTTTCCGAGCCCATTTAATTTCGCGTCCCAAAAAATATGGGTAGTTTTAGCTTGAAAGTAATTGTTGAATAGGGAGCAAAGGATCTGCTCAAAATGACGTGATTTTCAATTAGTTCCATAACTGATTTAATACATTTCTTTTGTGTTGTTACAACATAACCACCTAATGATGGATCAGCAACATGATCAATAAAAAACTTAGCTATAGGTCGATCTAAAGAATTATTTTTAATTAAATAACGTGTACGTTTTATATAAATTTGTTGAAGATCAATGCCAGTTGGAGCAATATTTGTATTGATTTTATCAACTTCATCAAAAATGATATCAACACTTTCTGTATGAACTTCTTGAAGTGTTATTTGAGTTGTACGAAGAATCGATACAGTTGAATCAAAACCATAACTATCATATATTAATATTAAAAATCAAGGAGAAAACAATACAAAGAAAATATTTTTTTTAAACATACTTAATCAATTGATCATCGTTTGGCAACATTAGTGTAAACGCACCTTGAGCAACAAAACGTCCATTATCCAAAACAGCAATACTTCCTGGTGCTAATACAACATTACTACTATTTCGTAAATGAACAGCTTTGATTGCATTTAAATCATTAATTTTCGAATCATAATAAAGTACTAATTGTGCATCCATTTGCCATTTATTAATTGTTACTAAAATACTTTCATGTGATCGAATTGTAATTGGTGTATTGATTTTATAAACAACATTCTCACCAAGACCACTCATTTGTCTCGAATCAATTGATTCATAATTTTCATCATCATCATCATCAACAACAACTCTCGTATTATTAATAGCTCTTCTCTTTTTCATATGAATTGATTCACTTTCATCACCTAGACTACCACGTAATCGAAGTACCAAATGTAAAGTAGATTCTATATAAAAATAAACAATAACAAACATATAGAACTTATCTATTATCGTTTTAATATCCATAATTACCTTTTTGAATATTATAATCAGCTAATGTTCTTTCATCTTCTAATTGTTTCCCAGCAAATATCAGACGTTGTTGATCTGGAGGAATACCTTCTTTATTTTGAATTTTAGATTTTACTTGTTGAATTGTATCTGATGGATCGATCTGTTATTGACAAAAGAAAAACTCATAGATAATCAATAAATGAATTCTTCTTTATACATACGTCTATCGTAATCGTTTTGCCTGTCAATGTTTTAATGAAAATTTGCATGCTACCTGATGATTCTCTATCACTATATTCGGCTTCTTCACGAACAATAGAAGTCATAAGTGTTGCTTTATTATTACTTAAAATTTGAAGTTCATTATCAATAAGTATGAGTTCAACTTGAGACCAATCTTCTTCTGTTGGATTATTAACTGAACCAAATAAAGTTAGATCAACTGTTGAACCATAACTATTTGATAAGGATGAATCAACTTCACATCGATATAAACAATGCCATTCTCTTGTTGGATAACAATAAGATACTTTGAGTATATTTGATTCATCAATAATATTTGTAGTAGTAATAGCAGGTTTTGAAGAAAATGTTAATAAATTATCACTATGAAAAAAAATTTGAACGTAATTTAAGCCTACATTTAATGATGGTTTATGATTGTCGA